TTCTGCAAAGTATCTTTGTGGTACTAGTTGGGTCCATTTTATGGCTCATATTTGAGGAGCAGGTGCGCTAGGAACCCACGTCGCTCACTTGTGCCCGCCCATCGAGCCCAGCTCCACCCTAGAATAAGATTAGTTGGCGTATGACTTTGTATCTGTACTTCCACCCTTCTCTTCTGGTCTCCTTGTTGTCTGAAGCTTCTTCCTGGCCACCATCCCTTCCTCGCGAACTTACAGGCTCAAAATCAGCAGCAAAAAGCTGGGCTCATGAACTTTGCGGCTGCCTCTTTTTTTCTTCGCTGCCGGGGAGCGTAGAACTAGGTCTCCTACCAGACTGCCGGCCTCAAATATGTATGCCTTCAGTTCTCACAAGACTTTTTTATGAAATCTCAAAGTGTCGAAGTAATGTTGTTTAGGCTGGACAATCCGAAAGGTTCGTTGGTGCGCACGATTCAAACATGGGACGAAAAATGCGATTGGTATTTCTATGCCGTTCTTTTACGGAAGAGGACTATTCCAGGTAGCATTCAAGTTCTTTGTCAAAAATGTGATTTACTACAAACTACCGTCACCTGATAACTGATTACTGTTGCCAGGCAATCCTACTGGTACTCCATAAAGTGCGAATTTTCAGTTGGACTTCGGCTTTTTCCCACATCGAACACCGATTGACACTGTCGTTGGGGCGCCAATAGCTGTTCCGAAGATACCTCAGCCGACCGAAGAGGAAGTGGACCGCGTCCATCGTCAGTACTGCGAGCCCTTACAAAGCTCTTCGATCAGCACAAAACTCGATTCGGCGTCTCTGAAGAAACGAAACTCGTTCCTTGTCTAGCGATCTTGATTCTTAGCATCTTTTTGGTACCCTTTCATTGCCTTGCTCAATCTGCTCTGCCATCCCTTTCTAGTCAGAACCGGCTATCAATACGACTGTTTATCAACAGTGAATCTAGAATATGATGTTCTGCAAAACATTTCCTTTACTTTGCAATGAATATTTCCAAATTTGTTTTCAATTGTTCAAAATTTTTTTCTGTTTTGATAGAGTTATTATTCCTTGAAGTTAGTGCCTTAGAGTAAAGGTATTTGAATAAAGTGGTCGTCGCTGATTAGTCGAGGATACGCCGCGCAATTGACAGGCCATATTATGGCTGGGTTCGTGAGTCCTTAGGGAGGAACCCGGCGATTGTACATTGTGGATATTGGCGCTCAATCACCTGCAGTCGCCAAGTGACTCTCCATGGGAGAAACAGCAAAAAAGGTCATGGGGAACACGCTAAGTAAAAAAATCCCTGGCAGCCTCACGTAGGAGTTCTCCGGACCTGTTCGCTTCATGCCGCAGCTCCTACACTAATTGACTGTGAGGCGCTTTTTCTCTGCTCAAAGTGCACGGGAACGAGTCTGAAGGGTACCGATACAATTAGCCCGCGCCAACCTCAATGTGCAACACCTGCGCCGATGTCAAGGCCTTGCAGGCGGACATATACACAGCGGTAGAAGACAATCGGAAGTGAGAGGGCGTTTGGCTATGGTTGAGCGTGTTGCTGGCCATGCAGCAGAGAGGGAGCAATATGAAGAGGGCGAGAAGCGGGTACCGCTACCTCCCTGTTCGTTTTTGTGCATGCGGGAAAAATGGCCGCTACCACAGCTGAGGACCAATTTACCTCATATACATACAGGGGGGGGCAAAAAAAGACACTTATTGTTAGCCCGGTAAACAGTACGCAACCCAGAGAGAAGACGTGGTACGAGTACCAGGGCGGAAGATACCCAAGATGTTCCTCGATAAGCAGGAGCAGGCTCTCGTCCATCACCTTCATGTACACCAAAATATGAAGCCATCTGCAATCGCAGCCGAACTGAAGAAGGCCTATGGAATTCACGTCACCTCCAAACAGCTGCGAAACTTCTTGTATGGAGTCACCCATGAACAGCTACTTGGGGAACGGCACTCTTGGAGGATACCATATTCTCTGCAGTCGCCAAGGGGCGGCTGATGGTATGGACCGGAAGTTTCTGGAATGGGAAGACCGATATTTTCTTCGTGGACCCCGGACTGAAAGTGAACGCTGACGGTTACATCGACCAACTCGAGGAGAATATCCTGCCTTCATGTCATCGCCTGTACCTTCTTGGAAACTTCGTACTGCTACAGGATTGGGTGCCAGCACATGGAAGGCGTTGGAAAAACTCTCGCCTACTTGGAATGGAAGGGCGTTGAGTACCTGAAGAAGACGGAATATCCAAGTGTGTCACCTGACCTGAACCCTCCCTCCCCCGCCCCGGTTATCGGGATAGGGAAGAGCTCAACGGGTGGTTGGGTGGTGTACAGTGGCGGTACCCAAACCCAAACGATCCCACACGGTTGTTACTGGAGGTAAAGAACCCGAATTGTTCCGCTGACCAGTCAGTCACTGGCCTTGGACTATGCTAGTACGCGATCGCCGATTTGTAACAATTTCATCTTCGTGTTTTTATCAGTATTGACACTACTACAGGCGTCATTCCTAATTAGTAAACAGGATTTCAGGAAGTGGACTGCATGGAATCGCATGACTATTTATGTCCTTGATGTGGCTGTAGCTCCGAATTTCTTTTTCAAGCACTTTTTTCACTAGGCTTTGTAGAGCGCTATGGAAATTGCATCTAACCGGTAGACAAAATCACCATTTCCTTATTTTGTATATTACCTAACTGCAATAATAAGGTACCATTTCGGCATGGGCTCAACCACTTTATTCACTTGTGATTGCAAAGGTAAGCTACTGACAAACGAGAATTTGGAACACACTAAAATGGTGTAATTTTGGACCGCTTGACCACCTTATTCCTTATTGGAAAGAAGTAATAACTGCAGAATTACTGTGGCCCGCGCGAATATGCTAAACACGACATATTGCACCGAGATTTTGAGCTTTTCTAACATTTTTTAGTTCACAGCGGACTATGGTTTATGTCCCAAAAATGGGCAGGGTGGGGCTGCGCCATACTTCACTTGACATGGCGTAGAAAGCGTTTTCATTGGACATTTTCATTCGAGACAATTGTACTCTGTATTCTGCTGAACAAGAACATGAGCTACAATTGTGTTTGGAAACAAAATAATGCCGATCACACAATGAAGTACTCAGCCACGCCGCTTCCCACCTTCGGGAATAATTGCGAACGCAACTTTGGGTTGACAGTTTTGCAATGCTGTGGTCAGGCTAGCTTGCTAGACTTACGGGTTTCTCTTGGCACCTGCCTGCCCTGACCGAGCTTGACTGCCCACTTGTTTTCCACCCACGACAGACTATTTTTCTCGTTTCTCGTTGGTTCATTTTTTAAGAACTTAATGAACAATTTTCCTCCGAGAATTGTACTATTTGTTCCACTACAACCTTATGAACAGAGGAATGCCTTTGCTGAAATCCAGAGAAAGAGCAGAGATTAAGCCTCAGAACCAGCAGCGTCAAATCGACCAGTATATCGACTTCAAATGAACGGGGAATTCATTAAAGATCATGGGATGCATTGAGCGACAATTGTCACTATTATCGACCTGCACATGTTGACAGCCCACGGACTTTTTGTCATGATTTGCCCTTCTTGTTTTGGCTTTTCTGGTTTTTGCTGTAAATATCGCGGTTTTTTTTCATCATCATCTTCATCTCTCTGGTGCTAAAACCTCTTCCATAACACTTCTGTGCTGTTTTTTTTTGTTTTGTATTATCTTCCATTTACTTACCAGATTTGCTTAGCGACTGGCAAGACTTGGAACTCCCACTGGTGGTTATTGGTACTAGATAAACTTTATTGAATTGTCGAATATTATTGTTATTGGTAGTTCAATGACAACACAGGACTCCTTTTCTCAAAATGTTTTAAAAAAATGGGATGGGCACCGGAAATTTCATGAAATTTCTTAATGAGTAGATTCGCTCGTTGAGGCAATTTTTCCGGCTAGCGTGAAGGAAAACTGTACACTTTCTCCAAGAACGATCTTTTCTACGTGCGAGATGAATGGGTCCACAGCAGCGGAAGCCCGTCATTCGATATGCGAAACGTACGCCGCAGTCGCGCCCTACAGCCAGGGACTATAGTAACGCGCCATGTGACCAAATTCAGTCGCCATGGTACTTCGCCCTGTTTAACCGTGTGGCGTATGGCGTGGTTGCGGCTAGTTTGTGTGTTGTGTGGCGAGTAGCGAGCGGAAACATGAGCAACATCAAGTTATTACGTACTTTCATCCACATTACTGAAATCTGTGGTATTTGCTAGAGTAAAAACGTGGTAAAGCTCTAGGCCTGACCTAGACTGCCCCTTTTCAGAATTTGCCTATACTTTTTTTGACATGGCAAAGATTGCCCAAATTCACCTCGGGGAAGAGTTTATTTCGTTTATTTTCTGGTTTTCGAATAAAAAGTGGCCCAAGGGTCGAAGAGCGATGT